CCCTATTCATTGATGTCTTTCAGATAAATCTAAATGTCACTTCAGTCGCTGTTCCTATTGAAACACCAGCCAATTAAGCAGTATTTGTGACTGAAGCTCCTGCTATCTGTATCCCAACAATAAACACTTTCCTCTTGCCATCTTGCCATGAGTGGTCCAGCTCAGCATTTTTATTCATGCCAAAGAGCACGACTGGACGTAGATTACTTGATCGTCCCGTTCGGTGCATCTGTATGGGAAGCATCTGCATAGTTTCTCCATTCGTTCACTGAGGTATGTCTTTAATTCGTCAACCATCTGTACGTCACGTAAACAAACGTTTAGGTATAATGGAAAAAAAGAACAGAGCAGTTTGTAACTGAGGAAAGAACGCAAGCTGGCAGTGAAACTTTAAGTCTGCTGCTCACTGGTGACTTGGCACACTCACGGTGAGCCTTCACCTCAGCACCCGTCACACTTTCCGAGTCTGTCCTTCATCAAGCTGCCTTCTACCTCTTAGTGTATCTAATTATAGAGAAGGTACTGCAATGCAGAACAAAAGAAAAGAGATCATATTGATTTACACACCAGGTATGTGATCCAGACTTAGAAACTCAATCATCGAGTAATCTAGGTCATTTAAGCTTGTTAAAGATTCAAGATTCCAAGTCATTCAGAGGATTATTAAACAGTGAAACCAAGGTATGTATACAAAGGAAGCAGAAGCCTCTATTTGAAATAAAACAGCCATTTCCAGAGACATCACGACAGCTTTTCTCAATGTGATCTCTTGTCATATTCGACTAACATCCATCAGTGTTAAGTGATTAATAGGTGACATTGTTCCAGTAAATTATCATATAGATTTATGCTTTTAATTAGTCCACAATGAGCACAGTCAGACTGAGCCCGTGATTGCCTCAATCACATTCAATGGAGGCTCAATCAGTTTGATGTCTTGCGATTGCGAAAGACACTCTTTATCGCATCAAGAAGCGCAAACACTGTCATCCATAACAGCCGCCGAAGAGGAGCTCGCTTCAAAACAAGAGATCTGAGGCTGAATGGAAAATATGACAGCACTTCTAGCAGTCCTGAAGTGAACCAGAGCGAGAGGATCCGCGCTTCTTTTGTTTTTACTTTGTTTTATTGCTCGTCCTGGCTCGCTGAAGAAGTTTAGTATTAAGTGCTATTATTGGAAGCTCTAGTCACTTATTCCACACGCTCAGGTCATCTGCCTTCACAGTCGCTGGCTGGTTATTAAAAGAAGACATTAAAATTCTCCCATCTGGCTTCCGGAAAGTCTCAGCCGAGAAGTGACGGACATTCAGAAACAAACGAAAAGTAGGTTACCCGTCAGAAATCCCGCCGAATGACGGGCCTGTTTTCCGCTCTTTGACAGTGATTTGAGGAGCAAATGTGTCATAACAAACCTGCATTAGGCCCTTTTCAACAATGACATGTTGAGTTGTGAAACACGCCTAGTAACCGATGCACTCCATTTAGCTGTTCCAGGTCCACGGTATGGGGAATGCTGGCTCGCTATAGCGCCGATTCAAAAGCAGCAGATTCATCGAGCATGTCATTACCTGGGCTTTTCAGGCTCACCGAGAAACCATTAAGACACAGATGTAAACTAGACTTGATAACACACACAAAAAAAAAGGGGGCGAGACTCAGAGTCACCAGTCTCCCTCCCCACAGCTAATCCCACTTGTGTAGCTCTGTTTTATATTGCCATTGAGGTTCTCTGACCAAACAATCCTGTTCACTGCTTCACTGGATCCAATGAAAAAGCTCTTTCTAGATTTAAAAAAAAAGAAGCTTTCTAACCAACCGCATCCACCAAGAGTGTCGTTTCTTCCCCTTCCCGCCTGCTCTTTTATGTGGATGATTTCCCAAACAATTCCTGCGTCTTTTATGTACGTTCAACCCAAAGCGGGGACCGTACGATACACCGTGTAGCTCAGTGGTAGGGCCGGGATGCCTCTGCCAAATGAACTATGATAACTAGCTGTGCAACAGGCCCAGCAAGCTTCTTTAGACCAGCATGAGCGATTTCACGATTTCCTCGCATCGGTGCTTTTGATGCACAATTTACCAGTCTACTGGAACGCATTTTGCTGGGAATTGAGCCCACACCGACGAAAATGAAACTGTCCAGCAGAAAAAAAAAAACATAAAAGAGGAGTGTTGAAAGTGTCGCTTAAACAAGATGATTTAGTGAAGAAGTTCTGTGGCGGTGATGGGGAGTTCAGTTTAAGAACGACACCCATGAAAAATAAAAGATTAAGTTGCCATCCATCCGAGTTTCTTTATGCAACACTGTCAGCTCTATGTGCCCCAAGTCCTCCTCTTCTTCTTGGACAGACTTGATCACAGTCTGACCACTCCCTCTGCTAATCACAGCAGCAGCAGCATTCACTAATTCAATTCACTGACCAACTCATGAACGTCTGCATCCTTTATGATTTGGTTTTTAAATAAAACATCTTTGCTGTTTCCAGAATAGGAGCCTCATATTTGCAGGTTGAGATCCACCATCAACCAAAGGAACTATCTGTACTTTTACTACTTCCCTTTATTAAGTTAGACGGGAATAAATGTCACACATCATCCCCCCCAAAATCCTGGGATTTTCAAAAGGAACGGCTGAGACTCTTATTAGCTCGTGCAGCTTTGGTGGCTTTAAACTCTTGCTGCAGCCTTGATTCTAATTTGTTATGATTGTCTCGGGGGGAAAGGGCGAACATCCGATGACAGAAAGCCTCAAACAAAGCATGCTGTGAGGAGGCAATATAACTGGAACCTGGCTCTTGTTGTGTACAGAACTGCAGTAAATATTTGGCCCTCCCCCCATTGACTGCCAGCTGGCCAGAGGCACAGCTGACATCCATGTCTCCAAGCTGAGCAGACAGACAAGAAACAAAGTGGTAGCCAAAATGAGAAGAAAAAAAGCAATCCTCACTAACTTTAAAGTTAAAGCAGAAAAGTAGCAACTCAACCTACATGGAGGTCCAATAAAAGTGACAAACTAACTTCCACAAATGCAAGCTGAGGAAGATATTTTACAGCCTATAAAAGCTGAAACATTTGCGCAGGACTCCAGGTTCCAGAATAAACTCCTGCAAGTCATTCACTGTGCGTAATTTCACCTTTTCTTTTCTTCCTTGCATTTAAAGCACATTACACAGAATACAGTTTTCTTCCTGTGCCAGAAGGAGAAGAACTCCACATGAGAGACACTGAAAAAGCAGAAACTTTTGCTGCTTACCTTGCAGGAGAAAGCCACCGTCTTGGTGAGGGAGTCGATCCTGTCGCTGTACTCGGTGAATTTCTTCTGATATTTCAGCGCTGTCATCTGCAGCTCGCTGTGCACGGCGGAAAGTTGTGCCAGAAGTGACTTCTCCCTCTTGTTGGCTTTAATAGTCTGCTTCTTGAACTCTCTATCCAGGATGATGATCTTGCAGTGCAGCGCGCTGTTGTGCGCCTTCAGGGCTCTCAGGCAGCAGTGGCTGTTGAATTTCTGCTCTTTCTGGGTGAGCATCAGCCCGCAGCCGCTCTCGCAAATCCCCACCGGTCTGTAGTCGCAAGTCTCCCGCATGTGAGCATCCATGTCCCGCAGGTTGAGCTCCTCGCTGCATCCTTTATTCCTGCACTTGGCCGGGGAGTACTCGCACATCTCGGCGTGCTCGGCCAGATGCTGCAGCTTCACCACCGCATCGCAGCCCCTCGCGTGGTTGTCACATTTGATCTCCAGCTTCAGGATGAGGTTTTTCAGAGGCAGGACGTGGTTCAGCTCCTTGGTGGAGATCCGCTGGCATTTGACGGGGCAGCTGCTCTGCTGAACGACCCAGGGCAGCACGCAGCCCGAGCAGAAGACGTGACCGCACGGAGTCGTCAGCGGGTCCTCCAGGACTTTATTGCACAAGTTGCATTTGAAATCCGGGTCCACGGTACCCTTGAAGCGGTCCAGCTCGAATCCCATGGTTTTCCACCAAGACAAAAAAAAAAAAAAAAAAGATCCAAACTCAAACTTGTGGACTCCCCACCCCCGCGGATCTGAGTCGGAGCAGTGGGGCGTTTTTTAGCTGGTCATTGGTGGTGCGCTCGCAGAGACCGACTACAGGCTCTCCGCACTGTCTAAACTCTACTAATTGACCGAGACTTTTGGTGCCTTCAGGTGCGCCTCGAAACTTTCTCCTCTAAAGTTCGGAAAGTTTGGAAGCCTGAAAAACAAACGTTTCGGCTGCTCTGTCTTTCACACACACCCACGTGGTGTAACTACAAAACGAAATCTGGGTGAAGTAGATCGCTATTAAAGGCGTTTTTTAACACATTAACGCAGAAATCATAAATTAAAGCGAGAGTAATTTTCTCTTTCTGATTCCATTTCCGTTTTGCAATGCTGCATAGTTAATAATATGTGATCTGTGTCTTAAAAATAATAAAATCCTAACTCTTCTACACTCCCTTCATGTGACCTCAACTGTTAAAACGACACTTCTGACAGTCAGTGAAGGCAACATTCCTAGAGGCGAAAGTGTGGAAGGATTTTCTACCGTAACTGCTCTACTAAAGGCGCATGGGACGTTCTGCCTTTAGGATAGCACATTGTTTGGCCTTTTTTTCCTGTGGAAATATAGAAGTTTTATGCAGGAGTAGTTTGTGTGGCTACTTAAAACACCAGAATTGACATTTATTACTCAAAATACAGGACGACCAAAACTTTTACATGCTATTATGTGAGGTTATAAACTTGACCTACAAATGCAGGCCCATTTTTTCCCCCATGCACAGTCTGGACTTTTTATGCATTCCACCTACTATATAGGGATAATTGTGTTGCAATGCATATCAGAAAGTTCCCCCTTCCATCCTGCATATTTCTACATGATAAATGGCTGAGTTCCTGTAGATAAATATTAGATATTTAAAACGTGGTGAGTGAGTGTTCAGGCATGCACAACACTTGCAAAAACAAGCAACTTTGGAGGGACGTTACCGGCATAACCCCAAGTGAGACTTTCAAGTTGCAACACACTTTCAGATCAGGTAAGAAGTTGGGAAAATCACTGTGGTAGGAAAATGAATATTTGAGGCGCCACCGTGGGATTCGTGTTTGAACACACATTTCACCACAGTCCTTATGGAAAGAAGGCATGATATTACACTGTTTTACCACTTTCACACTCTGATCCAAGCGCATTTTCAGTCCCAGCAGGAGGGTCTGGTGCTCGAATGTATTTGAATTGTAAATGAAACTCACAGTGGACGCGCCGTGGATGTGCAAAGGGAGAGAGAATAGCCTCGGCTGCTCAGTGCAGAAACACACGAGCCCGCGTTGGTTCCTGACCCTGCCTTGATTAGATACCCATTCCTACTGGTTGCCTCCTCTTTCGGAAATCCAGTTTTATGCAATGCCATGCTCAATAAAACCTTTCCATATGTGCATTATCCAGAACTAAAAACAAGGGCTTATCAAAGACTTCATGGACAAAGTGTGACAGAGAGAGTCTGAGCTTGTGGGTAATCCTACACTGATGTTATGGGATGGCTTAGATGGGGTGGAAGAAAAACTCGCTGTGCAGAACACCTCAAAGATCCCGGTAATGTGTATATACAGCATGTCCGACTGTGTGATTACATATTTTTCTTAGCAGGCACTCCTGAGGTCATGGCTTGATCTTTTTTAAAAATAACTTTTAATACACTTAATACATGGTGTGTCAAGAAATGTTTAAACAGATGTGGGAAAATGAACGGATGAAAAATGAAAGCGAGGGCTGGTGTTTTACTTTAGCACCTGTTTCTTCGGTGAGTTTTCGCAGGGTAATTGGAATTTTTTTTTTCTTGCACGTGAGCTGTATATGGCCATATATTATTCCACAGTTCAGAGCTGAAGGTTTGCTACCAAATCTTTTGTTCAGGGTATACTTTGGAAGTGTTACACTAGAATATTGAGTTCAGCGCTGCAGAATCAAACCGGCAACCTGCGAGCTACGCTCAGCACCCTCGACCTCTGGACCAACCTGCCGCTTGTGATGTATTATTTCAGTCTGGGAATAAACAACCTGCCTGTATGTGTTTGGCTGATTACTGTGAGAGTCGGTTGTTTGGTCTGCCTCAGTCGGAGGAATGTTTGCTCTCAAAATGGAGTGAGAATAAATAAGCAGTTGTTTTTATAGCCTGTGTCGGAGTCAGAGCGAAGCATGAAGCTCAGGCTGAAGTTTGGGAATTTTCATGGTACACTGTGTTGAAGAAGCCCGATACGCTATCTGCAGGACTGGTCTGCTCAGGAATGTTTTGTGAACGTGAAGTGGCAACAGGGGCGGCTTAAACAAGCCCATGTTGGGTCCAACCAGGAGACAGACAACATCCCGCTGGAGATAAGAGCTAATCCCACTCCTCCAAACTAAACTGTGAGTGAAGGATCAGGACAGACTGGACTTAAATGCTCCCACCAGACCTGCAGGTCAAAACAGCAGGAAAGATACATGTCCATGCTGGAAAATGGAGCTTTTTTGGTGTCAGCTGATTCTCATTTTTAAAGAAAAACAGTCTGAAGTTTTGAAAAATACTCTTAGACGTAGATGAGAAAGTCGATACAACTTTTGTCATTCTGATTTAAACATGAGCCTACAGCTAGTTAAGCTAAAAGTGAAGCTTAAACAAACAAGACAGAGGTTCTATATTCTATTTAAGCTGAAATAAATTACAACTACTGAAATCAACAAATCTAAATTAACCATATTAAGGTTTACACAGAGAGGCGGCATGTGGCAGAACTAATTATATGTATATTTTTTTTTAAATAACATAGACACATAGGTCCATCTTTTCGTTCATATTTTCAAGATAAAACATGATTATATTGTACAGTGTGTATGTACTGGACTGCAGTGACCTCCCAGAGTCTAACTGCTGTTTGTTTTGATTAATCAAATGGCATCAGAAAACATTTTACATGCTCATGGCCAGTTTTTTCAGCTCTAGGAATCTTTAGTGAACAGTTATATGATTGTATATTTTAAAAGAAATGATCCATATTACAAGACTCATATGTGTATTGACATTTATTTACATTTTCAAATGTAAATTGCATCATTATCAGCAAATGTAATTTTTTGTGTGTTAATGTTTGATTGTGATGTTAAGAGAGAATGTAATGAATTAGCAAATTTGGAATAATTTTTGTATATATATATAATTTTGCTTCAGTATTTTACAGAAATACACGAGACATATGAATTCATAATAAAAAAAATGTTTTTTTTTTTATATATATCATCACTGTAGGTACACCATTAACTAAAGAGTTACATTTTTATATCTGCAAATATAATATTGACTTTTTTTTTCTTTTTTTTTTTAAATTTACAGTAGGTGAACCATAAATAATATAAAATGTCAGTTTTTAAAAAATAAAAATTACAGGACAAAGTCTGACTAAAGGGAGTAAAAAGAGCAACGGATCTGCAATTAAATGTCCTGTTTTTCCACAATATACACTATTAAATATGAGCAAATGTTGTTTTCTCCCCTGTTTTTCATATTTAAACCATTAAAACTAGGAATTTCTAATGGAAGCTGCCAGTTCGTTTCTTTCTTTGTTGGCTACTCAGCTGTTAACAGTACAGATGACTATCTGCTTTCCCAGTCTTTATGCTAAGCTAAGCTAAATGGTCGCTGACTTCATACTGACAGTTCAAAGATAAGAGTATCAATATTTTCAACACTCGACAAGAAAAACAAACCTCAGGCCTTTTAAGATAAAAATCATTTTTCTTCTTTTGCATGGAAGAAATCCACCACAAAAAAAAAAGCAAAGTAAAGCGTGCTGTGAGTGACGCGGCCAGAGTGGTCCTGGGTTTCATTGTTGAACCCTCTTACTTGAAGCCTTTGTTGTACAGCAACAGAGAGATGTAGGTTTCAGCATGTGTGATGAGGGTGTTTTGTATATGGCTTTGGAGTTGGGCCATTTAGTAATCATCACCACTCTTCCCTCGCTATGTCAAAGACATGAGGGCCATGTGGGAAACTGCAAAGATGAGTTATTGCTCTTTGGGATGCCTTTTCATGTTGCGCTGAAACATGATGTTCTTACAAAAGGAATACACTATCCATCTCGCTGTGGTTTCCCATGCGCCTGCAACTCCCTCGGGAGTCAGTAATATTGTCAAAACTGAGTCTAGCCCCGAAATGATTTATACATCAATAGTAAGGTTTGTTTTTCTTACAAACATCAGTGACTTATTGTGCTTTCCACGGGGAGGGGGGGGGCAGTTGGAGTTTTGTGGCGCCCTGAGTGAATGAGTAACTTTAAAGGCTATTTGGAAATGTCTCAGGGTGACCTTATGGACAGGTTGGACTTGCGGCTGGGAACCAACAAGGGCTGCAATTGCCTCCACTCCTGACAGATGGTGTGAAGCAAACAACAGCTCTGGCCCTGTCGATCTGTTATGACAGAGAACAGCAGCTCAACCGTCACAAAAACCCCTCGCAGGCATAAACATGTGAAGCTGCGACTGGCAATAATCGTACAACACAGGTGTCAACAGCAATGTGGTTGGAATAAACTCTTAATTGTGTACAGGCATGGCACTCCCAATTGATTGCTGGCATGCTGCGCAACTCTTCAGCTAAACACAATTGATAATCAAAGGGAGAAAAGACGAAACAGATCCGCGGAGGAGATTGCAACGTGCAAAATATTTGCTGTTGCGTGGAAGATGCTTATCGCGGCGATGCAGAGATGAAGAAAAGCCAATAAATGTTTTGCTTCTCACAGCTGCCTGTTATGAACTCTCTCTCTCTCTCGGGGAGGTTAAAAACAGGATGTGGTTCGGTGGAACCCACATTTACCCGACAGCAAATCTCAGTCTTATATGAACCAAGTCAAAGTCTGTGACCTAAATCTACGGTCACATACGGTAGCTAATTAAATCTTTAAGGCAGAAACACGCAAACAGACTCGGTGGTTTTGCCCGTTGTGACTGGACTGCCCTTTTGTACTAAATGAAAATAATCATTTCAAATCTTATATTCATTGACGAGACAGCAGA